CTCCGAAACTACTCATCCGATTTCAAAAATTCTTTCACCAATATTTAGAATGGAACTTCAGGGTGGACATAGGCTGTATATTATTCCGTTAAACATTCATATAAATTAAAATATATAATCTAGATTAAGGCTTTTATGTCCAACAGATGGCGCTACAAGTAGGACGTCCTAAGTTTGCTTTTCTGTGAAGCATTATGCTTTTCTGTGAAAATGAACTAAAGCAGATCATCTATCTATTTATATAAATAAAAATGTAATGTTCGTTTGTTCCTACCGATTCCTTTGAAATTTTGACACAACGCTGCATTCGAATATGCACGTGTTTTTATATAATATACGTGTCGAAATTCACCCCCACTGAAGGGAGATGGTTAGGATTAAGGCTTACGGTAAAGAACTCTGCTTCTATTTATATTATTTTAGATGCGGGTTTTTGCGTTTTAATAGGATGCGTCGAGAGAATGTACACTAAAAACAAATTTTTCGATATTCCCCCTGCGGGGGAGAGACAGGATTAAGGCTTACCGTGAAGAACTTGGCTTCTATGATACTATTTTAGATGCAGGTTTTTGCGTTTTTGATTGCGTTTTAATAGGGTACTGTACGTCAAGAGAATGTACACTAAGAAGAAATTTTTCAAAAAATTTCCCCTCCCCATGGGGGAAGTGTTATAAATTTATAATAGATACATTTTGAGCCACAACAACGCGTGGCGAGGTCTGCTAGTTACATATAAAACCAAACCTGACATATGCTAATAAATGAACAATATAGCTGGACTCTTATTGGACTGTAATATGGCTAATTACTTATTAAGATACTATGTAATTTGGACTAGAGGTAGGCAGTTAAGCTTGCCTCTTACAGCCTTATATGAATCTGGCTGTATTGTTTGATTAAAGACAGATGTATACATGAACATGCATCCATTTTATGTTTTTGACTTAACAAATAATAATTTTAATTAGTCTAATTCAATATACAATAATAATCAATAAATGATATTTCAATCCATGAGTTTGATTTTAACTGTGTTCACTAAATTCTATAAGTAGATATAGGTTGAACAATTTAAAGCTTTTATCAAATTTTTTAGAAATTAAACAATTTCTTATATTTATAAATTATGTTTCATTTTTGTTTCATCATATTTTGTACCTTTATACAATAGTTTTTCTTAATTCTGGCAATGTATAAGACTCATTATCATATAATAGTTTTAATTCTAGCAGAATTAAGATAAAATATACAGTAATGAATAAGAATTGTAATAAATATATAATAATTAATATTACTATATATTTAGAATTATGATTAATATATAATAATTTTGTTTTTGGTAATAGTTTATAATCTCCAATAAAAAATTTCATAATCTTTTAATAGCTTTCATATATACAGTAAAATCTTGTTATTTTGAAACTCAAGGGACCAAAAAAAAATGAACTTTTTTGTAATTCTTGAATAAAATTATGACATTATTTTATATAATTTTACCTGTTCATTTACAAATGCATTAATATTATAAGTTATTACTTAGCAATTTAAGCTATTTCAAAACTGTCAGTTGGTAAGTAATTAACAAAAACAAAATTACAGTACATTCAAAGGAAGACCTGAAAATAACATATGAAAAAAGCTTAAGTACTTTAATAAAAATTACTTGTGAATGACATCTAGACAACCAATGACTAGTTCTATGAAGAATTAATTATCTTGAATTTGAGATTACAAACATCATGTAATTTGATGAAAACAAGCTTTATTAATGGATAAAGGTATAAGTACTGTACATATTTTATTGTGAATATGCACATGTATTTAAAGCACTTTGAAATTATTGAAACAATCAATTTTTGCAAAAAATGTTTTAAAAAAATGCCAAACAGATTTCTTCCATAAAAATAAAAAAAAAGAAAAAAAAATCTCTCTTCATTGTCACTGTGTATAATGTCTGAATGACCTTGAACGATGTTCAATAAATCAACAATGTATTGTACAATTGGTAAAACCAAAACCACTACTTGGGCATGGAAACTTTCTTATAAATGCATAATATGATGGAAGATTTCAAATTAAACAATATTTTTGTGGGTCAGCGGATCAGATAATGCATTTGAATTTCATTATATGCATATTTCAAATTATCTGAACTAAAATATATGCAAAATCCTATTCTCTTGGTTGGGGATCTAGATTTGACTTTGAATTATGTAATACTTCAAATTATCCAATATCAAAATAACAAGGTTTTACTGTATTTGACAATATCAAGTTTATCCAACTACAGCTTTAATTGTTTTGCAATAGGTTGATTCTTTTCTTTTAATACTTTTTTCAGTTTCTATAAAATATGGTCTTTATTATATATTTCTTATTAGGCCTATTATGATTATTATTTATTGTTATTAAATGCTTTTGGTAATGATAATTTTTATAGGTAGTTGTTTTATTTTCTGTATATCTATATATATAACCCATTCAACAGGTATCCGTCTGTTTGTCCCGTAACCGTTTGATAATGGACACTAGAGGTGCCCCTATCGTGTATCATATTTCAAACATTCAAATTAACAATTTTAATTCTTATTTAAATTAACAATATAAATTATTATTATTCATTTGGCCCATAAATTATTATTTGGTCAATATAACAATNATGTACAGTACCTAATTTATATATAATTTATATATAATACTAAACAGACGATAGCAAACTCAATTTAGCCGCTCCGTAGCGTGGCGCAGGGTCGGAGGAAAGTAGTTCGGCTGCTCATCCACTATTGGTCCAGACTCTATCAATCTTGTCGCGAAACGACGTTATGGGAGGTATGTTTTACGAGAGTTTGTACAATTTTTTCGTTACGTTATAGGAATTGTCGTTATTAGAACGTACGTTATAGGGGGGTCGACTGTAAATAATTCAGTATATTTGTAATAGGAATTTATTATTTCAGCGGCTTATATCTTGTGAAGGGTCACGAGTAGGGGTATGGTTCCTTTGACTTTATTGTTCGCACAGGGGGCTACAATTTGGGTGGTTGCCACCTCTTCACCTAATCTTACCATTGGGACTTTAACAGAGCTGTAGAGCATATTGATAGGAACAAAAAAGTCAAAGGAACCATGCTTCATGGAAATTTGTAAACAACGCCCACTAGGGGGCATCCCGGGCTACTAGTATATATATATTTCACAGTAAATTATGGAAATGATTAATTAAGGGATTGTAATGGAAATAAAAACTTGCTCCTTTTGTAGACTTGACTGACCTTAACCTGTTTCAAAAATTCATTGCCCAAACACTGCCAAATTTATTTTTTAGACTAAGAAAAAATTGATTATAGAAATATAGTTTTATTTGTATTTAAGACAGTTTCAATCTTCCTTATGACTTTTGAATTGTTTTATTAATTCTTCCTAAAGAAGTTTTTCAAATTAGGTATGTTAAAATAAAAAAAAAAATTAAACGACTTTCAATTACATCTTCTCAAAAGAGAAACTGAAATAAAAAGTCAATGAACTAATGTAAACACAGATTCTTTCATTTCTGTGTATATACTGTTTACTTGGACTTTGTTTATTAATAAGACTTATTATACTGGTATAGTTTATGATTAGCAAAGAGAGATGATCTTAGTCAATAGTCAAAACAAATTTAATATTTAATAAAAAAAACAGGAAACTTAAAATCATTCCACTGATAAAAATTCTTTAAAATATTCACAAATGTTTTTCATTCCTCCTGAATCCTGCTTAAGTTACAATAGCTATACCAATGGGATGCTTCAAAAGAACATTAATGGCATTCAAATTTAAATAGGCACATGCCAGTCATGCACAAAGATTTCTGATAGAACTATAGTTTATAACAATGCAACTTAAAGTGTTTGCCACATATGATATTTGTATCTCATCTTTGCAGTTGATGCACTTCCCAGTATGGTTAGCTTTAAAGATTTCTAGAGATTCTAAGACCCTTATTTGATTACATTGTAGGACTAAGCATATGGGCTGGGCTTGGTGTAACTTAGTTTCTATGTTATTTTCCAAGACGTGAGGTTGCCAATCTGCATGTGATGTCTGAAATCCCCATTGACAAGGACCCCATTAACAAGGAATACCTTCTTAGGGTGTACTCAATTCCTGTAATGAATAACATTTAACAAAAAATTGGAATACATTGGAGCTACAGCATGTTCTTTAAATCTTCAAAAGAACATGAAAATACCATAAAAAGTGCCAACACACTACTGCTCTAGCTGCCTTTGCTGCTGAGAATGGTGTTCAAGTTTTACTCAAGGAAGCTCGCATCTTACTAACACTTAAAGACTGAATCCATTTTAAACATATTGAAAAGCTAAAAATTTTCAAAGCTTCTACAAAGAACACAGCCATAAAGATATGCTGTAGAAAGATGCTGAAACAATTTCACATGCATGGAAGTCCTTTTTTGAAATGCCATAAAAATGTTTTTAGGTACTTAAACATCCACAGTGATGATTACTGCATCATGCAATGAGATATTTGTTTTTCCTGTTTTAAAATTTTATATTCTGTTTTGCATCCCATAATTTGAATGTATTCAAAAACTGAAGATGACTGCTTAAAAAAGTTGAAAATGTTTGTTTTTTTTAGTAAATTATGTTTTTGCTGGATAATTTTGTTTTTTTTTACTTAAATATTAATAATGATAAGTGTTAGTAATACTTCAGAAGAATTTAGGAGAACATTTCAAGAAATATGTATAAAGTGAGGTCATATTTGGTTTAAAAAAAATAAATATGAAATTGAAGAATTATTTTTTGCTACATTAAATCAATAAGAATTTATTACCGGGGTCATAAACTGTTTACTGAATAACTATTAATTTTTGTAATATAGTGAAATTTCTTAATGGACAAATGTAAAATGTCCATTTTTTAGAAGTTCCTACATTGGATCAAAAATAAGAAAATGAATTTTTTACATTTAACATATTGAAAATTATATTATAAAAGTTAATTTTTATAAACTTTTAACCTTTTTAGATATTTACATAAAAACAGATAAAATAATTCAAACTTCTCCAATATACAGGATGGGCAAAAAGTTTGTAAAAACTTTAATTTTGTAAGCTTGTAAAACTTTTTTAAACATTCATAAAAAATGGAAGAATTATCAGAATGAAATGTGGTTTGCATAGTATGTACTGTCAGCATGGAGAAATTTTTGTTGACAGGAGAAATTAATTCACTGATAGGTGTCATTTCCACCTAAAAGAAATGCAAACAACAATGAAAATGACAAACAAGTGTTTGACATGGCCTCCACAACAGGGTATAATACATTTAGCTGAGTAACAATGCCTGCAACTGTAGAGTATAGTATGATCAGATGGATGGATATT